GGGCTGCAACTGTGAGTTGGTGTTGAGATGGGCTGATTTAAATATCCTCTGAGTTTCAGAAGATGTAATGAATAGGTGTTGGGCTTTAAGGGCAGTGGCTGTGCTTTCTAAAGCATGGTGGATATCCACATCTCTATGCAGTGTCAGGGCCCAAGTCAAATCAGAGGACCTATATCTGAGTGATAGGAATCAGGCCTGCAGAGAGCTGGGGCAACATTAACTAGTTTGGAAAAACAAAATCATCCTGGAGAGGAATCAAGGGAGTTGCCAGAAATTCAAAAAGTGAAAAAATATGGACATAACAAGATAGAACCAGGAGAATGAGAAATGCAGTTATCAGTTGGAAAGTCAATAAAGCATCAAGGTTCTGGTCTCAGCCTGGGGCCACATCCCTGGACACCCAGGAGACACTGAGTATGCTGTTAATGAGATGTCTCCTTATAAGGTTGGAAATGGACACAGAGCTCAAAGACCTAGTTCAACTAGACAACCCTGCCCTTCATTTTCCATGATTATTTTCCTCACCTTTTTAAGCAGAGTATATCTATTTCTAAATAAAGTACATTAAAAAGGATTCATTCTTTCTGAAGTGAGGAAGACCCTGGCCCAATTTTCTTGGTCCTTCTGCTGCCCCCAGTGTCAGCCCTTGGGATGTACACATGGATGTCTGGAAACATAGACCTCATTGTCTCACATCACTCTCTGAGCAAAGCAGGGCAAATTATCAATCCTCTTTGAGAATCTGATGAAATCTATTGACCTTCTCCTTACAGGAAAAAAATTCCCATATGCACAAATTCATTTCAGAGAGCTAAGAATCTCACTTTAAAAGGAGGAACACCAGGGCCTCCCCAGTGGTGCAGCGGTTGAGCGTTGGGTTGCGAAGCTGCCCGCAGCCTCTGCAGCGCCAGTTCAATCCCTGGCCACTGGTTGAGGGTCCCACATGGCACGCAGACCTCTCCTGCTGCCCGCTGCTCCCCTCAGCAGTGTACTCCGTCAGTCTACCTGTTCTGTTCCCCACTCTGGCTCTGGTGAATTCTTTCACCCTCCCGCACTTCCAAATGTACCCAGTGCTTGTATAAATAAATAAATCTTTAAATAAAAAAAAAAGGAGGAACACCAAATTCAGGCACCATAACTGCCTCTTTCTTATCTCTTTGCTGCTTATCAGTTCATTCTTAGAATTATGTTCTTGGCCCCCAGCCTATGTTCCAAGGGACTCAGGAAGTACAGAGGGAAAGCCAGTCAGACAGTCCCTTCCTACCTAGAGGACCAAAGTTATTTAGACCCAACAGGTGCTAAAGATCAGAAATGTAATAATAATCATAGGGAAAGCCTTACTAACAATTGCCCCTAACTATGTTGAGTGTCCATAATTCACATGGGAAATCAGCTTCCTCTTCCGGGTGTGGACTGCTATGTTCACACAACCTCCCAGAAGAGCCCTGTGCTTGGTAGACTCCCCACAACACACACCCCTTTCTCTTTGGGAAAGCCATCAGGTACTCATCTATTCCTCTATTTTCTGAGTCCCACTTTTCCCTGCAAGGATTCTACTCATCCTTCTTCAAGTCTCACTTGACTTTTGTGAAGATAAGACTTTTTCACTGCATTGATCCTCATCTGGATTCAGTTCTCAGCTTATAATTTGCTCATAGCCTAGGCTCCTTTGCAGTTGTGTTTCTCCCTGGGCAAAGATGAAGGTGGGAATTCATGAAGCAATAGGCCAAGGAAGAAAGACTACCAAGTAAATGTAAAAAGTCAAGAGCTGGGCCTCCCTGGTGGTGCAAGGGGTTAAGATGCAGCACTATGGAGCTACCTGCAGCTACTGTAGCACAAGTTCAATCCCTGGCCATGGAGCTAACCCACATAGCGCAGCAGACCTCTCCTGACTCACCTGCTGCTCCCCTCAGCAGTGTATTTCAGTCAATCTGCCTGTTCTGCTCCCCATTCTTTGATGAATCCTCTCACCCCCGCCCCCCAAACACACACCTCTTGCCTGTACCTCAGTTCTTGTATGCATAAATAAATCTTTAAAAAAAGGGGGGCCTCCCTGGTGGTGCAAGGGGTTAAGACGCAACCTATGAAGTATTCCACAGCCTCTGCAGCATGAGTTCAATCTCCCAGCCTGCCAGGGAGCAACCTACATGGTGCAGCAGATCTCTCCTGACTCCCCTGCTGCTCCCCTCAGCAGGGTATTTCTGTCAATCTGCCTGTTCTGCTCCCCGCTCTCTCTCTGGTGAATCCTCTCCCCCTCCCCCACACCTCTGGCCTGTACCCCAGCTCTTGTATGCATAAATAAATACATCTAAGAAAGAAAGATAGAAAGAAAGAAAAAAAGAAAGAAAGAAAGAAAGAAAGAAAGAAAGAAAGAAAGAAAGAAAGAAAGAAAGAAAGAAAGAAAGTAAGTTAAGAGCTGAACTTGACAGTACAGATAACAAGTACTGAGTTCAAGAAAAAGATAAAGCTAACACAAACTGTGTAAGGCAGGGTGGAGTTCACAGTGATGCCTGAATTTGGGGGGCCTTGATTTACCGCAATGATTCAGTTCACTGTGTTAAGTTCTGGGCTAAGTGTCTCACTATATAAGCTCTTTCATCTTTACAATAACCTACAGGAAGCATTATTATTATGCTCACTTTGCAGAGAAGGAAACTGCAGCTCAAAGATGTGAAGGAATTTACTTGTTATCCCAGAGCCAGAATTTGAACCCAGCTTCATCAGATGCCGAAGATTCTACCAGATACCAGAGCATGTGATTGATAGTGCCTATCACATAGAAACTATTCTGTGAATATTTGTTAAATGAATAAATGATGCAATGATGTGAGGCTGAGAAGCCTCTTGCATCTTATAATGTGGATTTTACATCCACTGTGGAAGGGGGAAGATTAAATGGAGTTGGTGATTGTATAACTACTGAGTCTCTGATATTTATTGAGTGCTTACTATGTGCAAAGCATTTTACCATTTCAGCATGAGCCCCCCCTTTTTTTAAGATTTATTTATTTATTTATACATGCACTGGGTACAGTCAGAAGCGCAGGAGGGTGAGAGAATTCACCAGAGCGGGGAGCAGAGCAGGCAGAAGGACCGAAGTACACTGCTGAGGGGAGCAGCAGGCGGCAGGAGAGGTCTGCGCACCATGTAGGACCCTCCTCCGGTGGCGGCCGGGGAGCAGCCCTGGATGGAACCAGCACTGCAGAGGCTGCGGGCAGCTTCGCAACCCAGCGCTCACCCGCTGCGCCTCCAGGAAGGCCCTTCAGCATGAGCCTCTTAAAGTCAACAGAAATATACTGAACAGTAGACTCTAGTAGACTCTGTGACTGGCCTGGTATTGGGCCTCTGGATGGCAAATTATCCTCAGCATTCACAGTCCAAATGTGGAAGACTGTAATGTACTTCACGCCATAGACAGGGCTATCTAGGGGTTTAATTTACCTACTCCTCTCACCCTCCACAACCATGAACAATCTATCTGGAGTTAGATTTCTTTGGCTCCAGGGATCTCAGAGTGCTCAATGGTACTGAATATAGTAGGAATCCACCCCCTCTCCTAGTTCTCACAAACTCCCCGTAATAGACTCCCATATAGTGCCGGCAATTTACAGTATAATGAATTTGTTTTATTCTGGTTCAGTCTGGGCACTGCGGCCCCTGCCTGCCTTCCTGTTGTTTTATTTACTCCTCAACCATTCTCGTTTTTGTAGCTATTCCCTTCAGCTCTCCTTCTCCGTAAGGTCATTCTAAGGACAGGATGTTGCAATGGCTGAGATGAGTTGTGAACAAGTGCAAGCCAGGTGTGTTGGTGATTCTCTCTCTTCTATCTGGCTTTCTGAAACCTGACCCATAAAGAAAAATATCACACGTTCAAGATTTAAGGCCCAAATTCCGACCTTGAGGTTGGTGTCATTCAGATGAATGCCCTGGAGGCAGGCACAACAGAGCAGTCACTGGGAGAGATAAGGTGATTCAGCTTCTTGCCTTGGTGAGCAGTAACTCATGAGGGGTGAGGGAGACGTTTTAGTAACTACAAAAATGTGTAATTCCAGCACAAGCCCTAAGTATTGCCATCGTCCACAATGGCTGTTTCCTGGAAAATCCATCTCTTTCACCACAGGGTGCTAGGGGCATTGAAAATTAGTCAGTTTGCTATGCTGGCCTTGTTAACACTTGTGGCAGGACATTAACACAGGATAATAGTAATCACATTGGTGTTAAATATTTGCAGCATTGGAGCAATGACTTTGAATCTAAACCCACTACATTTGATTAACAGTGAGACTGATGGTGGCACCAGGACACATGGACTCCCTAGCTTTTGGTGCAACAATATAAACATGCCATGCTAAATGCTTCTTTTATGTGTGAATACAATTAAGATTAGCTTCTAATTATTTCTGGCACATGCTTTTTAGTGCCAGAGCCTTTGAGTCATGGTGGTCAAAGGGTAATTCATCATAACAGGTTACAACATCCTCAGGGATTTCCTGATTGACATAAAAATGTTTTTTTCCTTTAACTGATTGACACTATGGCAGGTGTGAAGTGATGGTCAAACTTCTAGCTGTCCATTAAAAGATCTTAAATCAAGGAAGATGTGGCTTCAATAATTAGCTTCCCCATTGGGGGTTGAGACCAGCTGGCTGTGGCTAGTGTTTTGTGGGGGGCTATGGTACCACAGGGATGGTAGCTCAATTTTCCAGTTGAGTCTCTTGGCACAAATAACCTGAGAAACTGATTTCCAAAATTTCTGGAATGTCTTTTTTTTTTTTCTTTCTCATGAACATAAATGGAAACCAGAGGTTTTCAATGAAACAGTAGGATGAACTCTAACCAGAGGTAGGAAATTTGCCAAAGAGTTTGTCATCCACAGAAACCCTGTGGAGAAATGTGTTTGCCTTCAAAAGTGGGATCACATAATTCAAGTATTCATTGGAGGTGGTCACAAATGTGATGTCACAAATGAGCCACAACACAATATAACCAAGTGTGGATGTTTGAGAAGGGTGATAGGATGGGCACCCCACTGTGCTCTAAACTCTGTATGGTTGGAGGACTCGATCCCTTTGACTTTCCATACTAACCTCTCACACTCCTGCCAGTTGCCCTACATCACTGCTTTGGCTTAGAAGGTGTGTCCTTAAAGGCAGTTGTTCACGGGAGTGTTGGAAGTTTCAGAAGCATGAAAATCCTGGATTTGTAATCTACTGGCTCCTCAGGAACTTTTGGGAAACAAGAACCTGGATTTTTCCAGTGTCTGGGACAGATGAATCACCAGGAAGATGTATTATTAGGTAAATATTATTCAAATACTCTACAAATATAAATTATCATGGTTGAGCTTAAAATTAAAACTCAAGCACATCTATTCAATGTTTTCTTGGGTTAACAACTTTTAATCTTCTTACCTTCAGTTTCTCTACCCAACTAAACCAAACAAAAAATTCAGGTTTAGGCTAGAATCAAAAGAAAGAAAAAAAAAAAGTTTTCTCAAGGAGCTCACTTTGTGATGGGAGAATAAGATACATACACCAAATAACAAATTCACAGAGCCAATGCCCTCAGAGACCACATTCACCCAGTGGTGTGGAAATACAAAGAATGAAGTGATTCATTTCTTTAGGAAGGGAAAAATGCTCTACAATTCAACAGTGGCTTAACAGTGGAGTTGATATTTAAGTTGAGCTTAAAAAATGAGTACGGTCGTGCCAGCTGGAAAATACAGTGGACTCTCTGGAAAAGGGGCATTTCCATGAGCAGTGTGCTGGAAGCGAGTCATCAAGTCATCTTCTCCATCAGGAGCAGCTGGTGAGGTGGCATGGGTGATTTGCTTAGAATGTGTGATATTCTAAGCATGGGACTATGCAATACACACCACCAAGGTTTTAGCTTTTTCTTTATCATGTTTCCTATTTCCGTAACAGTATGAATGTGACATTATTAGTAGGAACTTATTGCTACATATATAAATATATACACAAAATGAAAAGAATTTGTATTTTATGTTGATGTTATACGATTGCCAAGAAGTGATCTGATGAAATGGGGAAAGGAAAGGGGTTTGCAGGGGGGCGGTCATAAGGAAGGGAGTTTGAAAGGAAGGGCCAGGAGTTTCAGTGGAGGGTGAGAAAAACATGTGCTCATATGGAAGTTTAAAGATATACCCCCATGGCATGGCAGACCTCTCCTGTCTCGCCTGCTGCTCCCCTCAGCAGTGTAGTTTGTCAGTCTCCCTGTTCTGTTCCCCGCTCTATCTCTGGTGAATCCTCTCATCCTCCCATGCATCTGGACTGTACCCCAGTTCTTGTATAAATAAAGAAATCTTTAAAAAAATAAAGATATACCCCCAATATATAGCTATATGAGCTACTGAAACATTAATCACATTAAAGGCGGGGAAGGAAGCTAAAGAAGTTTGTAATTTACATTAATTTTTGTTGCTGTTGTCAAGTAGAAAAGGTCAACTGAAGTAGAGAAAGGAAAAGATTGAGGTCTTTTAAAAGCAATTAATTAATGAATTTTACCATATGCCAGGAGCTCTCCATTAGTGCTACTGAAAGTGTAGTATGTGGGCCAATCAATACTATTGCAATGGGAGCTTGCAAGCTGTTAGGCTCCACCCTAGAATTATGTGTTTTAATAAGCCCCTCGATTGGCTATTATGCATGTTGAACTTAGGAAAGGCTACTCTACAAAGAGAAAAGGCAGTGAGTCCAGATGAAATTAGAAACCGTAGGCATGTAACATACCTCATCATCATGATTCTCAAGGTGAGTTCTTGGTAGCCAACTTGGAGATTCAATCAGAAGAGGGACATGCTGATCTGGAATACATGAAATGTGCAGGATAGATGAGCACAAGCTCAGGAAATGAAACTGAAGCATCTAAGAGTATAGTTGCTCTGATTAGGCCACACTAACTATGAGGTGGGATGGAAGTGATCACAGGATGCACATTACTGATGGGGGCCCCTATACAAGTTAAGGGGTTCAAGGATGTCATCGTGTTCAAGTGTCCCTTTCCTATAGTGAATGACAGGAGAGGTGGAAGGATAAACGCATCCTAGAACAACTGGTTGCTGAATAGAACGGAGGTAAAAGACAGTGGAAAGATTCGCGCTCTTATTCACAATCCATTCCATGTTTTTTCTGACATTACAAGGAGGACTGGTCATAGGCATATATAACTGGTAAATAATCCCCTTTCGGTGATATCTTTATTGGCATTATTCCTCTGTGTCTCTGCCCCTTTACCTTCCTCAGATTCTCATGTTTCCTGAAGGTGGGTAAATCAGTATTCCAGTTTCTTCTCCCCCACTTTTGAATTAAAACAGAGCATCAGGATGTGTGCACACACACGTCTTGCTTCTCCATGAGAGATTTTTTTCTTTTGCCTATCTAGAGAAATCACTTGACTTCTGTGTGTTGCATTAGACATTGTCATTAACAACAGAGGTGTCATTTTGATGTGCTCTGTGAGGCAGTGGGTGCTTTGAAGTTGAAAGATAGAACAGACATGGATAAATAGTACTCTGAGAAGACTGCTATTGCACCATTATTGCCAGCAATTATTTCACCAAGTGACACATCTGATAAAAAGTCAGCCACCTTCCTCCAGGAAGCTTCTCGGTAGTTACAACTAGGGACTTCTGTCTGATTTCTTTTTTTTCAAGTGGACAAAAGCTTGTTAATTCTCTGACTGGTATCTTCTGCCTCCTCCTCTGTTTCTGTGAGTGGGGAGTGGAGGCTCTCGATGCTGACTATATGGGGGATCACTTCAGTTCAGGACTGTTTTCTGGGATGGGCGATGTAGTGGCCATTTGATTGATCCTTTTCTCGCTTCCTTTTGCACAATTGGTGCCCCACCTATGATTATCCATGACAGCTTTCTTTTTCTGGTTTTGGAAATGCAGATGTGACATGTGATAACTACTGAACAGCTATATCTAAAGAAGATAGTGTTTGATTGGCTGTTATTTTGATCATCACACACAAGACTGACTATGTGAAAGGCCAGCTACCAATATCAGCTCACTCAATCTGTTTATCAAACAAAAACTGAGGAGCAGGGGTAAGAAAGAGGACATGCAATTAATGGTCAGAGGAGCAGGATTCAAACCCAGACAGTTGTGCTCCAGAGCTGCTTTATTGGCTGTGAGCCCTAGGAGATGGAGGATATGATGGATAATAGCGATGGTCACAGGAGAGGGAGTACAGCATTCTAAGGTTTGCACTGAGATGTGTCCCTCAGTGCTTGTTCTGGAAGAATAGTGGCTTCAAGTGGCTATCACCAGAACCCTTACTGTTTGAGGAATGATGTCCAAGTATTGTGGAGGCTCTGTGTTTGAGCCCATGACAGATAGGACTGGGGCAACTAGTTTCTGGTTAGAAAATTGTGTGTGGGAGGGACTAGGTGCACCCCTGGTTGGGGAGCTAGTTCTAATGCCATGGATGGAGTAGGGGTCACATTTAAATGAGCCCATGCAGCCAAGAGGTACTCACAGACATGGAGGATATGAGGTGAGGTTCAAGTAGTTGTGTCGGGGGCTGCAGAGAGTTTCTGAAGATATTCTTTGGAGTTAACTCCCTACTCGTTTACCAGAATATTTAGTATACCACATGTGAGAGACTAAATAGGAAGGACAGAAGAATGTACTATGCCCCCAAAGTGGGAGAGGGTTGATTAACATCGATACAGGTAGTGTTAGGAGAAGCGCGGGGGTGAGGACCCACAGCTAGGCAACCCGTTCAATATCGGGGCTGTCCTATAACAGTAGGAGTACAGGTGACATTGCTATTATTTAAAGAAAAAAGTGTCTGCCATTAATTTGGGAGGCATCTGAATCTGTTCTTCCTTCTTGTGGAAGAATCTTGTGTATTTCCTAGAGAAAAAATACACTTTTGAATGGACCATGTTTTCCAAAAAGGTGTTATATTTACCCCCATTTCCACGTGGGACACTTGTTCCAAGCCGGCATGTGGAATTTTTGTAACAATCACAAATGGCAGGTTGCACAGTTTTATCTGCTCTTTGGCCACCTCTTCCAACACAGTGGAAGAGCTTATGAGAGTCAGCACAGAGGAAAGCAGAGTATAAGAACACAGAGATAAAGTCTTTATGATATCATTTGAGCACCTAGATCATGCTATGCCTTAGTTTGGAATTTCAGACTCAAAAGCAAATAGTTCCCTCCTTTGACTTAAGTTAGTTTTAGTCGTTATTTCTGGCCTTTGCAACTAGTATTAAATGGCATTCATACACGAGATTATAAGAAGTTTTATAACTAAAAGGGTTTTTTTATTGTTTCTGCCCCCGAATCAGAAAGATACATTTAGAATTACTAGGAAATAAACATTTAAATTTCTGGTGACCAGAGGTTTTTTTTCTTTTTTTTTTTTTTTTTTTTTTTTTTTTTATAGAGGCATGCTTTATTTATTTGTTTGCTGGTTTCTTTGTTTGTTTTGTTTATACATGCACTGGGTACAGTCAGAAGCGCGGGAGGGCGAGAGAATTCACCAGAGCCAGAGCGGGGAGCAGAGCAGGCAGAAGGACCGAAGTACACTGCTGAGGGGAGCAGCGGGCGGCAGGAGAGGTCTGCGCGCCATGTGGGACCCTCCTTCGGTGGCCGGGGAGCAGCCGGGGATCGAACCGGCGCCGCAGAGGCCGCGCGCAGCTTCGCAACCCAGCGCTCAACCGCTGCGCCACCGGGGAGGCCCAGAGGTTTTTTTTTCTTAAAGAGCTCGATAATAAGTACTTTAGCCTCCTAGGTTGAGACAAAACTGAAAATATTATGCAGATGCTTTTGTAGCCATTCTAAATGTAACCATTAAATGTAACCACTGTATGTTTATATATACACTGTTCTTATTTCCCTACTTATGGGAAAAAAATACAAGGTGACAGCTGTCTTAATTTAGCCGGAAGGCCTGACAAAAAAAGAATGATGCATCTTATTTTGAACTTTCTTTCTGTTTCTGTTTTTAGAAGAAAACGTTGATTGCATTTCATCCTCCAAGTTTCAGCACTACTATCCCCTTATCTTGGAGTTCCCTGTCATCTCCTAAGCTGGGGCTATATTCCCTTTTTAGTGTTCATTCTCCATCATACTCATAACTTGTATTTTATTCCTTCACACCTTTGACTTTTTTTTAATTTTTTTTAATTTATTCATTTATGCATACAAGAGCTGGGGTGCAGGCCAGAGATGCGGGGGTTGGGGGGTGAGAGGATTCACAGAAGACAGAGTGGGAAACGGAACAGGCAGATTGACCGAAGCACACTGCTGAGGGGAGCAGTGGGGAGACAGGGGAGGTCTGTTGCGCCATGTGGGTAGCTCCCTGGCCGGCCGGGGATGGAACTCATGCTGCTGAGGCTGTGGTGCTTTAACCCCTTCATAGTGTGGTGCTTTAACCCCTTGCGCCACCAGGGAGACCCCCTTTGACATTTTTAAATTGTGAAACTTCATAATAAGTAGTGATATAAAAATATTGAAATCAGCCCTTGTGTAACGTGTAAACTGGAACATAACTATTACCGTGTTACCAACACATCCCCGGCCCATTTTGTGTCCTTGCCCCAAGCTTCCCTTCTCCTGCCCAGAACTCAACACCTGCCAGTCTCCTTCATGTTATTTGTCTTTTATACCACCTACAGTTGTTGTTATATGTGTGTCTATCACACTGTAAAATATGTTTAGAACTTTACATAAAATACATGGGCACTTGGAAAATTTCCTTTTTTTTCCTTTTCATTTTTCACCTCAGGATTGTATCTGTGAGAGCCATCAAAGTTGATTTATATAGCTATAGTTCATTAACTTTTACTGCTCTATTGAAGTACGTTTGATGAATATACCACAATCTGTCTATTTTCCAATTGATGGACAGCTAGGTTGCTTCCAATTTTTTTCACATGCAAAAATGTGCTTCTCTGAAAATATTTTGCCTGCCTGTTGTGTGCGCCTGTGGGGTGACTTCTGTGTACGTACTCATGGTAGAGCTGGTTGGTTGGAGTCAGGTACATCTTCAAATAAAACAGAGGCTGCTACATTTCTACTCAGAAGTGAACAAATTCCCCATGTTTTCAGCAGTCCACAAGTGTATTCATTATTGTTCTAAATTCTCTCTAAAACTTTGTGTTGTCAAAAACTATTAAGTTTTTTCTTTTTTTTTTTTTTGGATGTAGAATTTGTAACTTTTAAAAACTAAGCAAAGTAGTGTAACAGACTAGAGGTGTCCATCTCCTCCTCGATCTTGTAGCATTTGTGCTTTTAACCACTCCCTCCATCTTATGTAATTTTAAAAACAAGCTTCATGTGTAGGCATCACGATCCTTCAATCTGTAAACATTTTATTCCATTAAAACTGTAAGGAGTCTTTACAAAATTAATCATAGGACTATGACCACACCTAAAAAATACTTCCTTAATGGCACATTTTCAACAGTGTCATTATCATCGTAAAAATTTTAAAGTTTGTTTTAAGCGGTATTAAATAAATTCCATAAATTTCAATTCGTTTCTATGTCTCATATCATTTTTTCCCTTCCATTTCTGTTGTCTCCCTTTCCTCATCTGTTAAAGAAATAAGATATTTCATCCCATAGAATTTTCCAGACTGGATATTGCCCATTGCTGTACGGTTTCTTTTTTTTTTTTTTTTTTTTAATTGAAATAACATTGCATTATCATGACTGAGATGTATTTTTCTTTTTTTTTTCTTTTGTTTTTTGTTCAAAGAGAACTTCCTAAAGAAGACAATGACTGAAATAGTGGTGTGAGGAGCTACACAGAACATTTGACATTACTGTAACTGGTTAAAAAAAAAATTAAGAGAATAGCCATCTAAAGTCTCTGGGACTCCTCTTAGGAGTATATAGTCAGTAAAGAAATATTTATTTTTAAAAAAATCCTCTAAATCTTGTTAGAATAGTGAGTCTGGCACCAGGGCCATGATCCTTTCCTCTCTCTCCTTTCACAGTTCAGCAGGATGGAAGCCCTATTCTGATTGACTTTGGTCAAGAAGATGAGGTTCCTTCAACTTGTGCTAAGTCAGGGGCCACAGGCTACCAGCAGATCCCTTTCTAGCTCTTTGCAGCAGAAACCAAGTTCCAGGTGAGTACGGCCAAGAAGTCAGGAGCTCCCTTTCTCTACCTAGGTCTAATTTTTGGACACAAACTTAAGCTCAGGTCTATTTTGTTGAGAATGCTGGGACTGGGCCTCTCTGGTGGCATAAGGGGTTTAGTTGCAGAACTAAAAAGCTATCCGCAACCACTGCAGCATGGAGTTTAATCCAGGTCAGGGAGCAACCCACATGGTGCAGCAGACCTCTCCTGTCTCACCTGCTGCTCGCCTCAGCAGTGTATTTCAGTCAGTCTGCCTGTTCTGTTCCCTGCTATGTCTCTGGTGAATCCTCTCACCACACCCTCCCCACCCTATGCCTCTGGCCTGTACCCCAGTTCTTACATGGATAAATAAATAAATTTTTTAAAAAAGAGTGCTGGGACTCTGAAGGCCCAGGCCCAGGCACTTTGTGAAGCAGAGTTCCCATGCCTGGGAGGCAATAAAATGCTAGAGGCTATTGACTCCACCCAGCACAATGCTCACAAATTAGGCTTGTCATTCAGAGAAGTATGCCATTGTCCTTATCCATATCTCTACAGCTGGTCTAAAAACCTTGCTCAGAAAAGTCAGGCCAAAAGAAGAGAAAGCTCCCAAGTCCTCTGCAAAGGAAATTACTTTGCTGAGAATAAAGCATAGGGAAGTTTGTATCAAAGAGAACTCCAGAAAATAATGGTGATTTTGATGTTAAACAATTACCAGCAGGGTGATACATCCCTGACTGCACAGGCTTAACTGCAGGCCAGCTGGTTTACTAGAAAGAAAGAGGGAGAGGGACAGCTAAGAAGAGTCCCCTGGGTCAAAACAAACCTCAAGAGTTTGCTTCAAAAACTACTTCTACAAAAGGTTCTTATTTTAATTTGATCAAACTGTGGAGCAATTTATGCCCCAGGTTATTGTCAAAAAAAAAAAAAAAAAGTTAGAGTAATCAGTCTACAATTCACGCAGCCTGAACACCTGGGTGTGATACTAGAGAGAGACAGTTTAACAGAGAAACAGAAAAGACTAAGTCCAGGAAGAATCACTGCACTCCCAGGTGACATTCCCAAGCCTTAAGTTGGACCTTCTGAGGAGTGACATTTGAGGGAGAAAGAAAATTCACTAAAGTCATCCAGGCAAGTCAGTAAATAAACAAACTCCTACAATTCAATAGCATAAAACCATTTTAAAGTGGGTAAAGGGACTGAATAGATATTTCTCCAAAGAACACACACAAATGTCCAACAACTATATGAAAAGATGCTTAAAATCACCTATAATCAGCAAAATGCAAATCAAAACAACAGTGAACTATCACCTCACACCTGATTAGGATGGTTGTTAAAAAAGAAATAAAGAACAAGCATTGGCAAGAATGTGGAGAAGGAAACATATGTTAGGGATGAAAATGTAAATTGGTGTAGCCACATGGAGAATAATATGGTGTTTCCTTAAAAATTTAAAAATAGAACTACCACATGATTCAGTAATCCCACTTCTGGGTTTATATCCAAAAGAATTGATAGCAGGATCTGAGATACCTATACTGCCATGTTCACTGCAGCATTGTTCATAATAGCCCAGAAATGGGAGAAACTTCAATGTGCAACAATGGATGAATAAAGAAAAAATGACATACATATATGTGTATGTATACATATGTGTATGTATATGATGAATAATGGATGAATAAAGAAAAAATGACATACATATATGTGTATACATACATTGTTGCACATTGAAGTTTCTCCCATTTCTGGGCTATTATGAACAATGCTGCAGTGAACATGGCAGTGTAGGTATCTTAGATCCTGCTATCAATTCTTTTGTATATATATATATATATATATATGCAATAATATATGCAATATATATGCAATATATATATATATATATGCAATAATGGACTACAGTTCAGTCTTTAAAAAGGAGATCCTGCCATTTTCTGTAACCCAGATAAAACTGGAAGGCATTTTGCTAAGTGCAAAAAGCCAGACATAGGTCACTGATGTATCTCTATGTGACAGCTAAAGTAACCTCTGTCATATTTGACCACCAGCTCTCATACTGCCAACGTGGTGAAGGCACAGGGTGCGAACTGGAGAGCATAGAAACTCCCGGTAAAGATGGTGCATTCCACCATCAACCAACCCTAGAACTAACTAACCTCTGGACTCTTCATTTTATCAGATAATAAACACATAATGCCCTAACCACTTTTAGCTGGGTATTTTATTGGTGTCAGTCAAAAGCACCCTGCCTAATATAATATTCCACTTTGAAGGGATATTATAGAAAACCAGAAACTCAGTGATAGATGGTAAAAATTATGATGTAAGGTACCCTCTTTGGGGGATAATTTGGCAATATCAAATACAAGTAAAATATTTTTTAAATGAAAACAGTTTCAGCTCTGAGAATTTTTCCTACTCTTATACTCACATCTGTGCACAAATGTATATGTGCAATAAGTTTATTGAAACTGTGGGTGAAATAAATGAAGACTGAAAAGAAACTAAATGTTGTTCATTAGGGAAAGGCTAAATAAATTGCTTTTTATATAGAATACTATGTAGCCCTTCGGTTGATGGATGGAAAAAAAAAGCAATCTGTATTTTATACTGTTTTTAGAAACCTATGTAGCATATATATAGAAATATACACTATAAATGTATTTAATAGATTTAAATCTAAATGTATACATATGTAAATATATGATATGTATAACATGCTACCCCTGGACTATGCTTGCATGTGCACAAACTATTTTTGGAAGGATAAAGGAAGAAACCATGAATGGTCTCTAGGATAAGAGCCACATGATGAAGACAGAAATGGCAGAGGGCTTACTTCCACTGTTTATTACATACCTTTAAATATTGCCCATTGGTATGCATGATTATAATTAATGATTTTTGTTTGAACTAATTAAAGGACAAAAGATTCTTTAAGGTCATATCTTAGAATATTTCTAAGACTGTGCAAACAGAATAAGGCCGTGATTCACATGGGCGCTGGCATCTGCCAAATTGAGAGTTAGCTGAATGCCGCCTTGGAGAAGGAGTTGAACTCAGTCCTGCAAACTCTTTTTGCAGGCGTGAGGAGGATGCTCTGCTGGTGCTGGGTATGCAGTTACAGGAATATCAGCGTGTGCTGGAATCAGATACATCCCTGTTGGCCTGAGAGGTCCAGACCTCCAGAACTGCGGCAAACTCAGAGCAATAGATAAACTGTCACGGACTATATCCAGGATTCTGGAAATAGGCAACTATAAAATGTAGAACCCTAGGAAGGTCTATGGGGTGAGCAGAACTCATTCCCATCCTGGTGAAATCACCACTATACTGTGTGGCCTTAGTTTCTTCTTTATTTTCCTAAAAATAAGTTTCTTTAGCATTCCTCCTGATGATAATTATGCATGCTTAATCTACACGAATTTAAACAAAACAGAAATATATAAAGGGAAAAGCAAAAGGCCTTCATATGTCTCTTCACCACACCCCTACCTCCTACCTTACCTTGTTTATGGCTTGACATTATTTCCTTCCAAATTTTAATGAATGTATTAAGATACCTGAAGTCCTTGGGTTTGGAGAGTGGGGTCCTTGGGTTCACTCTGGGAAAAGTTTCACCAGAGCTCCCTTTCACTGGCACAGACGTGTTTTCAGGCGAGTTTCTCCACGACACAGAGACATTAGTTGTATCCAAAAGAGCAGGCTTTTATAAAAGGGAAAGAAGAATAAAGGACACCTGCATGGACACAAGGCAGGAAAAGCTACCTCAGAAGGGACAGGTTTGCTAAGAGAGAGGCCTGCATGGTCGTAGGCAGGCGGCCTTGAGGAGAGCTGCCTCTCCTGAGGGAGGTCAGTGAAGAGGAGTCCCGGCTTGGTACAGGTCATGAGCAGGCAGGGAGGCTGCTGCACTGCGGAGGGAGAGTTGGTGAAAAGAAGCACCTGTGTAAGTATAGGTGAGCAGAAGGACTACTGCCCCGTGGCTGTGCAGAGACTGCTCTGAAACAGTCATGTTCTCTTTGGGAGGGGCTCATTCCTTTGTGGAGTGGTTTGTTTGTTGTTGATTTTGGATAACTAGTAGAATTCAAAAGGTACTGGAGATTCTACAATGACCCTCAATCTCCATATCTTTACCTCAGGTCTGAGCCCTAAGACACTAATAGCAGCCTCACACTTTGCTTTGATCTGTGCCTTGGTGCCTAAGGAATTTTAGTTCCTACAGCTGGTTTAACTACTATGTAAATCACTTACTTCTACCCCCACCTTTAGCTCCTGACTTTTGTGAGCCAGGTTTCTGGTTTTGTGGTGCCTCCTTTCCAACTTTTCTATCCTTATCCTCCCACCCATACACAATATACACAGCAATGTGATCCTAAATACATAATATTTTCTCCCTGTATGCAATATAGACCAGTGTGAGCAAATCTGGGGTGTAAAAGATAATATTTTAGGATTTATATACAATATAGTTCCTGTCACAAGTATTCAGCTCTGCTGTTACAACTGGAAATCAGAAATTAATAATACACAAACCAATGGGCATAGCCATGTTCCAATAAAACTTTATTTACCAAACAGGCAGGTCTCATTTGGCCCTTGAGATAGCTTGCCTCCTTGATATACATAAATTAACCTCATCCTTTTTACTGGGAGCTTAGCACCCCCTTGAACAGATGAGTAAATTTACTCTTGCCCTCATAGGTATCTACCATCACTTCCATTGGAGTCATTTTTAACCAAGCCCTACTTATTAAAGGGTTAGTGGATGTCTTCTCAGGCCCCTGTGAACATCCGTACTGCTTGCCCCAGTTACTGATATTTTATGCCTTGTCGACTGTTCCTTACCCCACCTGTCTCCATGTGCTTTCACCAGCAATCCCAAGTACATTTAATCATTTGTACTTATTACTACAGTATGTAATTTAATTAAATAATATGTTAATCAAAGAAATAGAAGTACAATAAAGAGATCATTGATGTTGTTATAGGACAGCCCCGATATTGAACGGGTTGCCTGGCTGTGGGTCCTCACCCGCGCGCTTACAAGGGACTTATGAATACTCCACTACAGGCACAGACAAAAGGTTAATAAAAGGTTTATTAACAATGTAAAAGGAAATAAGGAAAATGTACAACTCAGGGAGAAAATAGGGAAATTAAGTCTTTAATGCATCCTACCCGATCCGCTGACCTGGAAACCCAAAGGCACTCTCAGAGCTGGCCGGACGCTGCGAGCTGGCGGAGAGCCAAAATGGGGGACCCCTCCAAAGCCCACGTGTCTGGCTTTATACCAACCTGGCTGCTTAACCCCACCCTCAGGTCCCAGCCACCTTCCCTTTGGTGGTGATGGGATTTGGAGTTCCCAGTGTCTTTGGCTTTGGCCTGGGGTGGGGGGTGGAGTCCACAAAGCCTGTATGGAATTAGCTTTAGGACATCCTGTTCCCCCTAACAATTCTACAAAAACAAAGCTGGTTATTTGGAGGAAAGACCTGATTAAGTTACTTATTTAAAAGATCTATCTAGTGCTCCTGCCCTGGTGGCACAGGCGGTTGAGCGCTGCGCTGTGAAGCTGTCTGCAGTCTCTGTAGTGCCGGTTCGATCCCGGCCAGCCGGTGAGGGTCCCACATGGCACGGCAGACCTCTCCTGTCGCGACCACAGCTCCCCTCAGAAGTGTATTTCATCAGTCTGCCTGTTCTGCTCCCCACTGTCTCTGGTGAATCCTCTCACCCTCCTGCGCGTCTGGCCTGTACCCTAGTTCTTGTATAAATAAATAAATAAATAAATCTTTAATAAATAAATAAAAGGTCTGTCTAATTAGGTATGTGAGATAAAGTCAACAGACCGAAAGCCAAGCAGCATGGGGTGAGCAGTCCTGTGAAGGTCCCCACATTAGCTCCTTGCAAAGAGTAGGCCCAACTGCCAGGGGTTTTCTGTGCTCAGACATTGCCCAGCTTCCTTTACAATTTCCAGAGACCTGAACTCTGACTGGGCGGGGGTCTGAAAATGCCACACCCACCCACCTTGCCCAATCACTCCTCCAGGTTTTGGAGCACTTGGTATCTCTGACTTTTAAACCCCATCTTCATATGAAAGGTTAGTAAGCATGAGATTCTGTTTCTTCTCTCAAAGGCCAGGTCCATTACCATTTAAAATAGTGGTAAACCCATATTTACATTTTGATGTGGTTCATGCTTTATTTCCTTTGCACACTACACTGTCTGTTCTATTCCCCCTAGTTTTTCTCTCAGGCAGAATCTATCTTATCTGACATTGCAAAGCAGTTAACATTGATTCTGGTGAATGGTCTACTTTGATTTTTGCTACAGGGAGATTTTAGCACAAATTCACATATATTGTTTTCTCAACAAATAGAAAAATATGTTCCACATTCATTGTGCTGGGTATGCAGAGCCTGCTACTTTGTAACTCACTGTCTCATACTTTTTATTTGCTTTCTCTGTCACTGTCGATCTTTTCCTAATACTTCATCCTTTATGCAGACTCCTTCCTTGGAGCTGAATTTGGCAGTGGAGTTTGCCTAACTAATGGGGACCATATGCTCTGCAATTACATTCCCCAACAACATTCAGATTTGTTAGCAAATATTGGAGAAGGCTGAGAAAGTGGAGTGCAAAGACTGTCAGAAATTGGCACATCCTGGCAGGTAAACCTGTGTTTGCTGACCCCTGTGACTCAGTTCTGGTTTGGGCTGGTATTGGCTTAGGTAGAACAGGGATTTGTTTTTGAAAGTGTCAGTCAGTTGCTGCATTGTTCTTCAAATGACTAAGTGCCTCTCTTATGTGTTCCCGATGGCATATTGTACTTACCCCTATAGATCATTTTTGAATACATGACTCTTGCCCGCTTCATAGTTGGTTCTATTCTACCCCAGACTGGAAACTGCGATCCTGATGTTAATAACTTTTGTCGCCTCAGCTTCCAATAAAGGAATGTGAACATAATAGCTATTAAGTAAACCTTTGGCTGATGAACAAATGAGACAATATCTAGGTTACATTAAATTCCAAAACATTACAAGCATCGCACATATATTACTTACAGGACTTTCTCCACTCTACAGCTCCTTCCTTTCCTCTAGGCTAGACCAAACTTAACCTTGGACTCCCAACCACCATAAAAGTATGCAAACTCACAGGAGTCTGAAAAATATTTAAATCATCACCCTAAAACTACAGCACTAATCTTTAAGAAGTCTTTTTTTTTTTTTTTTTCTTGAAACAAAATTTTCTCTGCTGGGGGTGAATGTAGGGCAGGATGAGACAAACCTTTTGATTTGTCCTGGGTATTTTGCTAAGCTGATTACAGGGAGAAAGAACCCCTTCTCCCCTATAAAGATGTCAAAAAGGGTAACTAGGTTGGGTGCCAAGAAGAGAAAGGCTGTAGCTATCCAGGGGCTATCAGAAGGCTGCTCATTTTTCAGATGGCTGCGGGCCAGAGTCCATGTGGCCCCTCTGAGGGTGCCGTCACCCTGCAGGATTTCTAGGGCACCAGGTCTAATGTCAGAGGCTGCTTCTCTCCACCACTGTCCTCTGCCAGTCTCCCTGGAGGTTTGGGAACTCCCTTGAGGTTTGGTTCCTCAAGTCCCAACTCATCCTCATCAGTACAAAAGTCACCTGACAAGAACTTGGGGACCTTTCCACCACCCCCAACTCCCCCAAGGCCATGTGGAGACTCCAGAGACACAAGAAATACTCAATGTTTTAGAACACAAATACATAAATTTTTAATCTGCGAAAAATACAAAATGAAACCATGTACAAGTTATGTACAAACCCTTTTTACAAGACAAGAGAGTTATCACTGGTTGTTACAGATGACAGAGTTGGGTAGATCATTTCAGAGCACCAGCATTTTTCTCTCCTCCAATTCCTGTTAGGTCATAGTAATTAATCGTAATCGTAATGCCAACAATCAAAAGTTTGAGAGACAGATGAATAAGCCACGCTCTTTTTCCTTAATGAACATGTAGGCTGACCACTGTGTACATGTATTGTTTCCCCTTTGTCCCCTGAAGAAACACTGAGAGCAGGATTCAGTGTTAAGTGGGGGAAGGTTACTTTTCAGTATCTGAGTGGTGGGACGTGGGCCAGCAATTTTAGGCAGGATGTGATCGTGCCACCTGGGAATGGAACATTTTTAATTAGGATTTCCAGGCAGATCTTGGTTTCTGTTTGAAATGTTGCAGTTCTCGTCAAACGTGTCTCCGGCTTCACCAGGCGGAAGGAAGGAAGGGATGGGGGTGAGCCCCTGTGGAGCAGCGGGGTTTGGTTTAGTGGTGTGGGGCTTTGTCAACCCTGTTGGCCCAGCTCCCTTACCTGCTGGCTGCCTTCTCACACTGACCTGATCCCACATGAGGAAGCCCCTGGTTTGCTCTTGGCAGGCGTGTGTCAGCGCTGTGTGTACATTTCCATTTTAGATCCCA